AGAACTTGAGAAAATGTTGCCAAAATCTAGTCATCAAGGATTTCTATTGTTCTCAGGATAGGACTAACCTTCTTCTTATTAAGCTATTGCCTTTCTAAGAGGAGCTCACCCTTTGGAAATCTGGAGTTTACCACATTTCCTTTTGACAGGTGGGTCTGTGTTGTGCATTACCTGCATTAAATGGGGGCATCTCAGAGAGAATGAGGAGTTGGAAAAACAAGGGATTTTCAACTTTTCTTCTCATTATTATTTCATCAGCAACACTTCTTCATGCCGTAGTGATTAAAAAGACAACCGCAAAAGTCGTGATGCTCATCGGAGCCACAGCACCAGTAGGCAGGCACTCCCCCCAACATTCCCAGTTTCAGGTGCTCATTGTTCTTCACCTGCTGCTCCCTGGAGCTACCACTTCTGTGTCTGCTCCTCCTTTTTCACTTCTCTGGGGCACAATTAGTAACTCTTTATTTTAATTTTTTTCTGTGAAATAATTGATACAGTTTGCACCCCGGCCCTCCTGACTGAGACAGACAATGATATGCTCCCAATAGCAGCCAAAGTGAGTTTCAGTTCTCAAGTTTTCACATTAGGTTAATAACTCTGGCAATGTCTCTGATGTATACGTGATTCAAAGTCTTGATACTGCTCCACATGCAGTGAAACAGAGGCATTACTGATCAGGATGTTTTTCAAATACTATGCCTAAAGATAGGATGGCTTGTTATGTAATGATTCATTCTTATTTTGTTCTTTTAAAGTAATCTTTACTAGGAGAACAATTGGGAAAATTTGATTAGAGGTAGGAAGCATGTCATAACTACATATGGAGGAAATGAATAGGTGTGTGAATACCACTCACCGCGGGTGTACATCTACTTTAGGTAATTAAAAATGAGTAAGCCTTGGAAAATTAGGAAAATGTGGAGGTATTTACTGTCATGCTTTTAATAAATTAGTAGTCCAGTCAATTTCAATTACATGCAGGGACATTAAGAAAAGTACTGAACAGCTTCAAATTTCTCTGAGAATATTTTCATTGTACTCTGCCTGAACACACAGTCTGCCAACCATCGACCTTCTCAGTTATGTGGATCAGGTATCTCCAACCCAAGAATTTTCATCTGTTTTTTAAAATGCGTATCTTTAAATTTTTATAAAAGCAAGAGATAAAACCAAACAGAAACAAAATCCATTTGAATCTCAAGATAAAAGACTTCCTCATGAATAGACGGGTGTATTTTGAAAAGAAGCTCCTAAGAGAGGTCACCAGTTCTGTCCCTTTGCCTTCTTCCATGTAAGAACACAACAAGGACATCTAGGAAGCAGGGAGGGTGGACCCCAAGCCACCAGCTGAATCCTCCAGTACCTACATCTTGGAATGTTTTCACAACTGTGAGAACAGCTTTCCACTGCTGACAAAATATCCAGTCTAAGACATTTTATTTTATCAACACACACACACACACACACACACACACACACACTTTCCTTATTGTGGTCTGTTTATTTAAGAAGTGGAAAAGTTTTACATCAGAATTTTTTTCTATAAACCTACAGCACTAACACATTGAAGGGAAAATTATCTAATTAAATTCAGGGACATAAATTGTTTAAAAATTGTGGAACAAGAAACCAATTAAGTCACAGACTATTTGAATAGTTACAGAGAAATTCGTGAAGGCTCTGTAGAAAACTTCGTATTTTTAATAAGCAGATCTATTAGTTATATAGAAGTTAAAACCCAATGACCTGTAGCCAGAAGTAGGAGGCTATTTTAATTGTTGAAGACTTTTTTTTTGTCTTTTTAAATTGGTTTTATTGAGCTCTACATTTCTCTCTGCTCCCCTTCAACCCTCTCCCATGCTCCCAATTTACTCAGGAGATCTTGGAAGAAGACATTTGTAACTGCATCCAAAAGATGATGTGCTGAGCAAGAAACTAAACATATGCAGGAACTTTCAGAACAGAAGTCACATGACTTAGGATAATATCAAGATGTCGATGTCAGTCGAATACTGAGCTGTGGAGCCAGGGCTCTGCTGAGCAAATGTCAGCATTTCTTTTTGAGAAACATGATGACAGTGTAGATTGCTGTCATATCAACGAATAAAACTTTCCATCTAGAGCAGTGCTTCTTAATCTTTCTAATGTTGCAACCCTTTAATACAATTCCTCATGTTGTGGTGTTCCCAGCCATAAAATTATTTTCATTGTTACTTCATAACTACAATTTTGCTACTGTTATGATTCACAATGTAAGTATTTGTTTTTTCCAATGATATCTGGGGGTTGAGGCCCACAGGTTGAGAATCACTGATCTGGAGTACGATTTATCACACACCATGGAGAGCTTACATTGTAGTAATCATAAATCAAATTTCAATAAGTATAATTTGATAAAAATAAACATATCCTACTGTGGTGGTTCGAATGAAAATGGCCTCTATAGGCTCGTAGGAAGTGGCACTATTAGGAGGTGTGGCTTTGTTGGAGTAGGTGTGGCCTTGTTATAGGAAGTGTGCTGCTGGGGGTGGGCTTTGAGGTTTCAAATGCTCAAGTCAGGCCCAGTGTCTGTTGTGAGGTGGCCACTTGTTTTGTTCCCGGCTGCTCAGCCCTGGAATAACCACACAGATACTGTATTAATTAAATCGCTGCTTGGCCCATTAGCTGTAGCTTCTTATTGGCTAACTCTTACATCTTAATTTAACCAATTTTTAGTAATCTATGTATTGCCACGTGGCTGAGGCTTACCGGGTAAAGTTCCATCCGGCTCCAGCGGGGCTACATGGCTTCTCTCTGACTCCTCCTCCTTTCTCCCAACATTTAGTTTAGTTTCCTGGCCTAGGTCTGTTCCCCTATAGCTCTGCTATAGTCCCAAAGCTGGTCCTTTATTTATCAATGGCAATCACAGCACACAGAGGGAAATCCCACATCAGTCTGTCTCTCTTCTTGCTGCCTGGAGATCCAGATATAGAGCTCTCAGCTACCACCATGTCTGCCTGTGTTCTGCCATGCTTCCTGCCATGCTGATAATAGATTAAACCTCTAAAATGTAAGCAAATCCCAACTAAATGCTTTTTTTTTTTTATAAGAGTTGCCATGGTCATGATGTCTTCATGGCAATAGAAACCCTAACTAAGGTACCTAATCATTTTTATTGATTTAAATATATAAATTAAGTATATATATCTCCATGTGAAAAGCTTGCAAAGTCCTTGGTGACTGAAATTCTTAAATACATATAAGGAATGCTTACTGCAGATGCTCTTACATGAAATCTTGCCCAAAGCCCATGAAATGGATGGGAGTAATATTTCTATTTTAATGATGAGGGAGATGCAGTTACAAAATGAGGTGAGGGCCTCAATTGCTGTTTGTGTCCTTTCTCCCATGACATTAAGACATGTGTGCTAAAGGCAAGCAGGGCCCTCCTTAAAGCCTTAGTAACTAACTTCAAATCTGTCTGCACATACTCCTAGCTTCACAACTATTTATTATTTATCACCCTCACCAATCCCTGTCTCCACCACACATATCTTCCTTAAAAATGACAAGATATATGGCTGGAGAGATAGGTTTGTTGTAAAGGATGCTTATTGCTCTTACAGAGGACCCAAGTTCAGTTCTCAGCACCCATGTCAAGTGGCTCACAACTGTCTGTAACTCTAGTTCCAGAGGATCTGACAGCCTCTTCTGGCACTATCATTTATAGGAAAAATGTACCCAGGGTGCATCAGACATACCAGTCTTCTATAGTGACAATTAGGGTGATCATCAATCTGATTATAGGGGAAGGCCGGTTCAGGCACCCTCTTCACTATTGCTAGGTGTCATAGCCGGGGTCATCCTTGTGGATTCCTGGGAGTTTTCTTAGCAGATTTCTCCCTAACACATAATGGTTCCCTTTATCAAGATATCCCTTTCCTTTCTCTAGGGAGGTAATTTTTATTTAAGGACAGATTGGGGCTTTCAATCACAGACAGATAAAACCATGTTTTTGCCATTGAAAGAACAGCCCTAAACAGCAGCATAATAACTTGCTGGATATGGTTAAAATAAAACAGCGAATATTCCTCATGTATTCTCTTATATCATGAATGGGATCCCTACCACCCTTGCACAGGTGCACTGGCCGAGAGCACCTTCTCCAGGTCTTATATATTCATTATTCTTTAATTCTCACAGAAGCCCTTTAAGGTAGCAACCACTATATTTCCCATTTTATAGATCAGGAAAATGGGGTTTAGAGAGATTAAGTCACTGTCCCCAAATCAATCAACAATTGAAGGATTGGAAAAGCTGATTGATTATTCAGAGGTCTTCAGTTAACTATAGATTTGGAGACTTGACAGTGTCTAATGAGAAACTTCTACACACAGTATGCTTGGTCTTCTTACAAAGGATTTTCTGTTTTCTTTCTAATTTGATTTTGTGATTCTGGTCTTTGGGCATACTTTAAAGTAAAAAGCTGGAAAGTGCCTGTCAGAACACTGCCAGTCTCTCAGGCAGTGAGGCATCAGCATTTCTTCATGGGAAAGACATTTTATTATGGTTGGAAGGGTGCTGACCCTGGGGCTAACTTCTAAACCAACACAGTAATCTTCAAGGTGTGGGCTCTAAACAAACCCTTTTAACCCTTCAGCAGTCATCTAACAGTTATGTATCAGTTACCATTTTAGGTTAATACATAATGTTAAGGTGACCACATGGCAGGTTAGGATTAGCTGAGATGAAGCTTGCAAAATACTTTATACCTGCTACCCAGTTGGTACTTAAATTGTCAAAACACACAGCCTGTAACTCTGATTTTCTGTGATAGGTAACATACAGTTTCCTGTGGTTTATTATACAGTCAAACAATCAACATAACTCCTAGCTTTTATTGTTTTAATGTTTGGCAAACACACTTATGCACTCAAAGCTTAAATGCCTGGGTTGTGAAGACACAACAGAAAGAATCCCCTGGAGTCTGTTTGACAAGTTTAAAAAGCCCGTTTGCTTACCAGCTCGCTGAATTCATTATTGCCTAGGTCAAGTCTCTCCAGCTGGGCCAGTTTGTGCATTGACCTGTAACAGATGGAGAAAAGGGCCATTATGAGATAGCACTTGACACATCGCTCTAAAGAAAAACTACCCACAAAGACCTATTTTCCTGCCGTATCACATACGGAATACCACAATATTCCTCAGCAAGAGGTGGCCCATAGATGCACAGAGAAGCGTGTGAATGGCCACCTGGGTGCAGTCATGGCAGACCATGGTTCACAGCACTGGGTCTCCAATACAGTGCGTTATGGGAGTCCAGGGCCAGCTGTTTTATACCCTGCGAATCCCATTAAATATCTATAGCAGGAGGCTTAGGGTAGGTCCACTGCCTTATTTTTAAGGATCACAGAAGTGGTTTGTTAATAACAAATGGCTGAAGTCAATCCTAGTAAAGGGAATCCTACTTCTACCCCTTGCCTTGAGTTTATCATCAGCTTTGTTGTTTCTCACCATTTCAGGAGTTTCTGCTACAGATGGACCATTTTCACTGATTCCTAAATATACTGAGCTGGGGCCACCATAGTGCTGAACTGTTGTAAGACCCTTGGCCAAGACTTTGCTTCAAAGGTATTCTAGAACACTCCTAGTATGTAAGCATTTCTCAAATCATTACTAAATAAGTATACAAGATAACAAAAGATAAGGATTTTTTGAAAATATTTTTTTTATCCTCCCCCAATCTAGAATATGCTCCTTAAATCCTGTCTACATAGAGGCTGTTAAAATTTGAGAAACAACAATCTTAGAAATTTTGTTTTCTTCATCTCAAACTGGATATAGAACTATTAAATTTTTAGGACTATTAAGTGAAAATATATTGCAATCTAGACTCAAACAGTATGAATCTTTTATAGCTACAATTACTGGGGTACTAGTATGTACTGGTTTGGCTGTTGTTTAAATGCCCAATGCTTAATTTTAATGAAAAATAATGTGCTCTGCAGCTCACTATAGTCTATTTCAGGAGTCAGAACACATTTCCTGTGAAGGGCTAGACAGGCAATGCCGCAGGCTCTGGGGCACATGTGGACTCTGTTTTAATCTCTTTAATCCACTATTGTAGAGAAAAAAAACTGCCATAGATGACATATCAATAAAAAGGCAAGGCTGTATTCTAGTAAATATCTATCTATCTATCTATCTATCTATCTATCTATCTATCTATCCATCCATCTAACGTCTATCTAACATCTATCATCTATCTATTATCTATCTATCTATCTATCTATCTATCTATCTATCTATCTATCTATCTATCTATCATCTATCTATTATCTATCTATCTACTCCCTATGTCTCATCTATCATCTATGTATCTATCATCTATCATTTATCTATCTATCATCTATCATTATCTATCTATCTATCAATCATCTATCTATCTATCTATCTATCTATCATCTATCTATCTATCTATCTATCTATCTATCTATCTATCTATCATCTATCTATCTATTTATCTATCATCTATCTATCAACCCATCTAACGTCTATCTAACATCTATCTATCTATCTATCTATCTATCTACCATCTATCTATCTATTATCTATCTATCTATCTATCTATCTATCTATCTATCTATCCATCTAACGTCTAACATCTATCTATCTATCTATCTATCTATCTATCAATCAATCATCATCTATCTATCAATCCATCTAACGTCTATCTAACATCTATCATCTATCTATCTATCTATCATCTATTATCTATCTATCTATCTATCTATCTATCTATCTATCTATCTATCTATCTATCTATCTATCCATCTAACGTCTATCTAACATCTATCTATTATCTATCTATCTATCTATCTATCTATCTATCTATCTATCATCTATCTATCTATCTATCTATCTATCTATCTATCTATCGTCTATATCTATTCTTATTTTATGTGTATGGGTGGTTGGTCTTCATGTATGTATGTGTATCACATGCATACCTGGGGTTCATGGATGACAGAAGAGGGCATGGGATAATCCCTTGGTACTGGGTTTGCAGGTGGTTTTGAGTTGTCTTGTTGGTGTTTGGAATTAAACCTGGGTTTTTTTTTTTCTACCAGGTAATCTCTCCAGCCCCACAATAAAGCTTTATTTATAAAAACAGGCTTGCCAAAGTTTTCATCACTTGGTGTACCAGTCTTTAAAGTCTCACACCTAGATAACATCACAGGTTTGGGCATCAGCCCTCGTCCCTAAGGACAGTGAAGATTTTAAATTCTTCACAAGGGCAGATAAGTGAAGAGCTAGGGATTGCTGGAAGCTTCCTTGGATAATTATATGTGAGCACTTTTGAAATAGTCATTTCTTTCTGTACATGTTAATGTGTCTGTGGATTGGCCCTCAACACCACCCTTCGGGCTGTGGTTATTAAAGTCAAGTACATCCCACCATGCTATCCTTTTGTAGCATTTACCCACTTCAAACATTCCAGCTGGCGCAGGATGGAAGACAATGAAATATTTCCATGGTCTGTCACACTGATTGAATAGTGCAATCTATGATTTTCTTTTCATCTCATTCAGAGATTTTCTCTGAGCCATATAAAGTTGGCAGGACTGCAGAATGCCCTGGATCCCCAGTGAGTCCTTTGGTTACTGATTTACAGGATTCTGCGAGATTTTGGCATGGGCTTCTGCATTCCAGATTTACTTGTCCTTGAAATGTGCACACGTTCCCCGATTACTGGCTATTTGTGGCACAATGACAGGGAAACTCAATGTACTGTCATGCTTCTCTATCAGAATTCAGAGAAAGGTTTCCGCACTTCACCTGGGTGTGCACCGAGCTGGGTAGGCACACACAATTTTCAGGTGCCAGCTTCATATGATCATGTTTTGCTCTTGGTAATAACTTACGCATTTAAGGAACCCCATATCATACATGATTTTGTTATTCTTGTTATAGCACACATACCAGAATCTAGAAAATCTAGTAGTTAACATTCTTTAAGAATGCAACTACTGGGTCAATGAGATAGCTTAGTGGGAGAAGTATTTGTGTGCAAGCCTTGCATGCCAGATGGCAGGAGAGAATCCGTTCCCATGAGGTGTCTTCTGATTTCTCCATGTGTGCATGTATTCTCACACACAAATAAACAAAAATTTGTAATTACTAGTACACCTCATTATCCAGATATAAAACATAATTTTACAAATCTGGAAACAACATAAATTTGGTGTCTTATGGTAAATAAAATTTAATTTCCACGATCAAATTTCTTAAAGAAAAAATTGCTTGTATTTTTTGTGTGCATATGTACCCCCCCCCCATGTATGTGTGTGTTTGTGGTAAACAGAGGTCAAAGTTAGATATTCTCTGCTATTGGTCTCCTCCTTATCTTTTGAGAAAAAGATCTCTTAGGGGACCGGCTATCAACTGAGTTGCTGGACTTTCTGACCAGGTATCCTTAGGGCTTCTGCTGTTTCTGCATCTCCTACCTCCAGCCAGTGTTACGGTTACAGGTGTACATGACCATGTTTGGCTTCTTAGTTTAGGGTACTGGAGGTCTGAACTTAGACTTCCATGCGTGAGTGGCAGGCACTTCGCTCACTGAGCCATCCTCCCAATCCCGAAATTCTATTTATTATTATAGATCTTGTGTCAGTGACAGTTATGACTTTCATGTAATCCAAATCATCCCAGGTTTCTCTAGTACCAAAAGTTATCTAATTGTCTTCTGGTATCTTTCAGAAGGAGAATATATGGCAAATTGAATATGCTTTTATTTTTTCAAGGAATATTGGGAAGATCTACTTCTTTTACCAGTGCTTATTCATCAAGATATTTCTCTTTGTGGATTTAAAGTATAGCAAACATTTAAAATGTGTAATTTCCATCAAGTTGTCTTCCATTTTGAGAACTTTTGTATTTTTATTTTTAATATTAAAACTTGACATTTGAGAGTTTAGTTGACTTTATTATTATTTTTATTGGAAACATTTCTTTCCTGTAATGATTCATCTCAAATTTAATGAAATATTCTGTTAGACGCATCAAATCCATAGTAAGATGCCCAGGGCCCTTCCACTTTATACAGCAGAGTACAGTTGGCAGAAGTAGAAAGATTATATCCTGCAAGTGCACCTTTAGAAGAGCAGCTGTCTACAGCTATATCCTGGATCACTGCTTTATCTCATTAGGCTGAGGACAGTCTTGGGTTTTGTTTCCACGCTTTAGTTTTTCTGAGGTTAAGAACCTGAACCAATTACTCATTCACCCTGCACACTAGTTTTCCCACTAGCAAATTGTAACTCTTGGTACAGAGAAGGCAATCAAGTAAGCTTGCAAGGCCTGCTGGGCATCTGGGCTAAGGGTGCTGTGTAATCAAGAACTTTGGCAATCATCTCCAGAGCCCGGCTTCAGTAATTACATCTTCTGTCATACACTGTAGTGGTCCAATCAAAAGGTTGTGGGCACCATAATAAGCTACAAATACGTCAGTCTTCACTAGGAGATGCTGCAGCTTCTGTTATTCTTACGACAAGATTTGGGTACTACTGGGACAATCATAGCAGAATTGCTGTTTGGAATGATTGCAGATACCTGGGCAGGAAACAACAGCCAATTACTTTTACTCATAGACTCCTGTTATATATATATCCGTGTGTGTGCTTATGTAACCTTGCAGAGGTAGACCAGGATCAATGCTTCTGGGCTATACTTCATAGAAAAACTTGTCCCTTGTACTTGGGTTTCCTTATTTTAAAACTCATACACGATGTACAGACTTGTTATTGATTTCCTGCCCCGCAAATAAACAAGATCCAACCCCATAACTAAGATGAGAGAGAATTAGCACTTGAGACACCAACTGAGGGCTTTGAAAATCCCACAAAGCAGCCACAGCGGTTTCCCTTCTCGCCAGCAAATATGTCCCACGTCATAGATAGAAAGTGACTATCGTATGCATCAGGTTCCCACTTGGACAGGAGGAGCTCATGGCCTTGTTCTGGCCCCTGGAACAAGAAGTGATTTTCTTCCCCCTTTTAAGGGAAAGAGGAGCACAAATGCTTTCT